TCTGAATTGTTATCTTCCTTATAACAGGCAAACAGCCCATGGCAACAAGGCATTTTTTTTCTTACTTTGACTTGTTTAAAATTCCATCATTCTTATGGAGTAGACCAATACCATTCCAGACAAAACAGCTCCACACCATGACTGATCCTCGACCATACTCAACTACGCGTGGAACATAGCGAGGATCAAATTCTTAAATTATTGGACGGCGAACATACCTTCGACCATCAGGACCTAATAATTAATTTCTGTTACATCGTTCTAAACAACATAAGCCCATAAGAGTTGGCAAAGTCTACGCGTCGTCTCTACGAATTTTAGTCAGAAGTGGGTTCCTGCGTGCTCCCCTGCCGTGAAGTCCAGATTCGCCTACACAATTCTTCTCCTTGATATTTGGACATTGCATTTGCCATGAATTTCATGTAAAATGTCAGTTGAACTTTTTTTTGGGTCCCTTCACGAGATAGTATTATTTCTGTGGTCCATTTCTGTTGCAGTTTTCCCGTTATTTTCCCGTTATTTTCTTTGCGTGCAACATTGGAAACAGTTTTAAAATTCTGTATATGCTTAAGGACATTGAAAAGATCTTTTTTGAGCATTTGATCTGATTCACAATTTTTTGTAAGCCTTTACAGACTGAAGAAGGTCAAAAACGTAGGGCAGGTGTACAACTGCAGCTTTTCCTCATTAAAAAACTTGAATAATACATTTTAATATATTTTAAACATCAACTTTGAAACACATACTTACTATAAATCAATAATATTATTAATAAAAATTAACACCTTGAGAAATTTTAATTCTTTAAACAACCGTTGGAGGACGCAGTCATGTATAGAAGTTCACGCAAGTGAGGAGAGTTCTCTGATCGCTCACGACTTCCGGTCTTTGACCAAGTACCCTCTGGGTAGCCAAAGAACATCCGTTTGAAGGCGAGCTAACGTGAGAAGGCGAAACATCCCCTACATAGAGTTGTGCGCTGGGTTTGGGACCACGTAAAAAACACCCACAATGAAAAAATTGCAACAGCCCTTTGATGACGACCATGGAAAACGAAATAAGGACTACGAATTGAGGGCATGCACCTGGAATGTCCGGTCCCTTAATTGGGAAGGTGCCGCTGCCCAGCTGATTGATGTCCTCGCGAAAATAAAGGCTGAAATCACCGCCGTCCAAGAAATGCGATGGACGGGACAAGGACAGAAACGAGTAAGTCCTTGTGGCATTTACTACAATGGCCATATAGAGGGGCGCAAGTTCTCTGAGAGCACTCGTCAACAACTCGGTATAAGGGAACTGTGGGACGTCATTTCAAACTCCTTACGTACAGCTGGTACGACGAGAAGTGCCGTGTCGCAGCGGAGAGAAAACAGGCTGCCTACCTCGCAACGTTACGATCGACCACAACAAGTGCGAGATGGGATAGATACCGAGAGTAGAAGAGGAAAGCAAGACGCATTTTCAGACAGAAAAAGAAAGAGGTCAAAATGCGTGAGTACGAAGAGCTTAATAAGCTGGCCGACAGGGGTAATGCTCGAAAATTCTAGGAAAAAATGCGGCGGCTTACAGAAGGTTTCATGACCGGAGCATACTCCTGTAGAACTCCCGAAGGTGTTCTAGGCACCGATGCCCAGAGCATACTTAAATTATGGAGGGAACACTTCTCCAGCCTGCTGAATGGCAGTGACCCAACAACGCCGGAAGAAGGCGATACCCCAATCGATGACGTCTGCTCCGTTCCATTGCCCGACCATGAAAACGTTCGAATAGCAATTACCCGCCTGAAGAACAACAAAGCCGATGGATTACCGGCCGAGCTATTCAAACACGGCGGCGAAGAACTGATAAGAAGCATGCATCAGCTTCTTTGTAAAATATGGTCGGACGAGAGCATGCACATTTAAATGTGATATGCCCAGTCCACAAAAAAAGAGACCCCATAATCTGCGCCAATTACCATGGGATAAGCCTCGTCAACATCGTATACAAGGTTCTATCGAGCGTATTGTGTGAAAGACTAAAGCCCACCGTCAACAAACTGATTGGATCTAATCAATGTGGCTTTAGACCTGGAAAATCAACAACCGACCAGATATTCACCATGCGCCAAATCTTGGAAAAGACCCGTGAAAGGAGAATCGACACACACACCACCAAACAATGTTTCAGACAAGGCGACTCCCTATCGTGCGATTTCTTCAACCTGCTGCTGGAGAAAATAGTTCGAGTGGTAGAACTTAATCGAGCAAGTACCATCTTTTACAAGAGTGTACAGCTGCTGGCGTACCCACGCCGTCAGTTCTGCTTTCTCCAGACTGGACAAGGAACCGAAGCAAATGGGTCTGGCAGTGAACGAGGACAAGAGGAAATATCTCCTGTCATCAAAGAAACAGTCGTCGCACTCGCGACTTGGCACTCACGTCACTGTTGACAGTCATAGCTTTGAAGTTGTAGATAATTTCGTCTATCTTGGAACCAGCGTAAACATCACCAACAATGTCAGCCTATAAATCCAACGCAGGATAACCCTTGCCAACAGGTGCTACTTCGGACTGAGTAGGCAATTGAGAAACAAAGTCCTCTCTCSACGAACAAAAACCAAACTCTATAAATCACTCATAATTCCCGTCCTGCTATACGGTGCAGAAGCTTGGACGATAACAACAACTGATGAGTCGAGAGAAAAGTTCTGCGAAAGATTTATGGTCGTTTGCGCGTTGGCCACKRCGAATATCGCATTCGATGGAACGATGAGCTGTATGAAATATATGACGACATTGACATTGTTTAGCGAATTAAAAGACATCGGCTACGCTGGCTAGGTCATGTTGTTCGAATGGACGAAAACACTCCAGTTCTGAAAGTATTCGACGCTGTACCCGCCGGGGGAAGCAGAGGAAGAGGAAGACCTCCACTCCGTTGCAAAGGACCAGGTGGAGAAAGACCTGCCTACGCTTGGAATATCCAATTGGCGCCACGTAGCGAAAAGAAGAAACGACTGGCGCGCTGTTGTTAACTCGGCTATAATCGAGTAAGCGGTGTCTACGCCAATTAAGAAGAAGAAGAATAAACAACTGTTTCTAATTAGCTGTTGCACTTAATTCACTTTCTATATCATAACGCATTTACTATTTGGGAAAAAATTAACAAAACTTCAACTGCACAACTACAAAACAGAGTGAATTTAGTAGTAAATAGGGTAACACGAACAACACGACCTTTAGGAAAATAAATAACGGTATTTTAAAAATTTATATCATCTTACTCATCAGCCACCTACAAAAAAGGGAGCGTTTCTAATTAGCTGCCAACAGCTGTATATTTAAGAATACACACAAAAAATATTTTTACTAATACTTAAAATACAATAAAAAGATACCACAATATGTGTACAAAGTATTAGATCAACAAATTTAAAAGTTTCCACAGAAAAAAAATCCTAAAAATTCGGTTTTTTCGGGCTTCTGACAGTATACGAGTATAACCCCTTAAACTAGCGATAAATTACCGATATGTGAAATAGAGAGCTGTTAAGGTTATATTGGGTGGATTACGCATACAATATTTTCAAGCAGAAAAGGCATTTATCCATTAGACAAGTAGTGAAAATCCTGAAAATTTCATTTTTCTATTTGTAAACTAAAGACTTAAGCAACAAACTTGCTTTTGTATATTAGAAAATTATAAACAAATTACAAAATTAGACAAAAGATTCGTTTAATTATTAAATATTTACAAAAATGTGATAAAAATTGATAGAGTTTTCTGTAGTGGCCCAATCTGATCGGGGATTGCAGCGATACTTTGCAAAATAACCTATGCTAAATTTCATACTACAATCATTTTCTCTAGTGGTATATAGTGGTCTTAATTAAAAACTGAGGAACTAGTTTGCGTATATACAGATGAGCATGTCTGAATCGGCTCTGACCATCACGCTGATCATATATATTGGATAGTCGCAAAAGTCTTTTCCCATTTCTAATCAAACTTCAACTTTTTTTTATAATGAACTTTAATGAACCAAAAATGTAACATTATTACATCAGTGTAAAACTTTACTGGTTTCTCGGCGAGAAGCTCCGACAACTTGATGCCAACCTTACTCCCTTAAGAGAGTTCTGCATTGACCCAAACAAATGGTAGTCCGATGTTGCAAGGTCAGGGTCATCTGGTGGATACATCAAAACTTCCCAGCCAAACTCTCCCAGTTTCTTCCGAGTCATCAAAAGTGTGTGTGGTCTGTCGTTGTTTTGATGGGAGACGAAGCCCTTTCCGTCGATCAGTTCTTTCGATTGCTTGCGTCAACCTCACCAGTTCCTGACAGTAAAATGTAGAATCAATCATTCGATCAGGCTGGAGCAGCTCAAAGTGAACGATTCCTTTTCAATACCACCAAACATTCAGCGGACCGTCTCCGTAAGCTTCATAAATTTCATTGGTGGATATAAAAAAAAGATCATCTTTTCAACACTATATGGTATGACACAATGTGATTGGTATCACTGGAGATATACGACTGCAACGACATCTATTGAAAAGATACGAAAAGACTTTTTCGACTACCCAATATATATATTCTATGAGGTCTCCAACGTTTGCTTCTGGGTGTTACAAAATTCGTGGCAAATGGCAACAGGGTATGTAAGATATAAAAAGTCTACATTTGAGAATATGGCAGACATTGAAAAAATGTATATTTTGCTAAAAAAAATTAAATGAATTTTGTTCCGGCAAATAAAATTTTTCTTACATAAAAATAAACAAAAAATAATTAAATGTTCATTTAAAATTTCGGTATGTAATTTTTACAGACAGGCGTGAAAAAGTGATGAAGATTTGTTTTTTTATTATTATTTAATAATTTCCCTGCTTTCAGATGGGAATTAGTTTATAAATGTCAAATATCTACAAGAAAAATATTTGATTCGCGTAAAATTTGCAGCTAAATTATAGTTTTGCAATCATAAGAAATATAAATTCCTCTAAAATTCACTCACCTTGCTATTACTACAATAATATATATCCGACATTTTGTTGCTGTTGTATTTTCAATATTTTTAATATTCAAATTTAAAAAGTATCATCCAACGTTTATTGCACAGACAATAAATAATCTTCACGCGAAATTGACTTTTTCACCAAAAAACAATTAAATTTTTTTTTTTTTTTAATTCAAATTTATCGGCTTTCAATCTCACCAACAATTTTTGAACTTAAAAGCTTTGTTTATGCAACGCTACACTAATAACACAACGAAATCATACATTTTCTATATGGCTCAGAGTTTTCAATCAAGGGCACTAAGTGTATTTTTTAATTTTGTATATATGTTTATGACGATGTACGCATAAAACAATAACACAAACACGAAAAATGCGAAATTATTAAAAGAAAAGCACAAACACACACGCGCGCACTTAAGTTGCCAACAATGCGATTGACAGCAACTTTCTACTTCAGCGCGCACATTGCAATCCGGTAACGGAGAGTAAGTTATTGCGCTGGCGTGTAATACACATATAGATTTACCTGCAAACTCAAGCGAACGTCAGCAGCAATGCGCGTACTAGGCTTGGAAAAAGGGGTCTAGGCGCGTCTGAGCTACAGTAGCAAAACTTTTCACCGGGAGGGAAAATCACTCAAATGCCGGCAGAAAATATATTTTTTTCTATTTATTATAAAAGTATTGAGACAATCATGCACGGGAAAATCATTAGTTGCTGCAGTAGTTGCAACTGTGGGCAAGTATCGCTGCACTTGTTCTATATGTACATATGTATGTGTGTGCTGATGACTTTACAACAGGTTGCTGACGTTAATTTCTTTTTGTAAATGTTTTCTTTGTTATTAATTTCTTTTGGATTTTTGTTACTGTATACGTATATTCTGCTGACAGGTTTACACTTTTACGCGATTTGCCACAATGCTCAGCTCACATTTCACATTTTTCAGATTTTCCGTTGATAGACTGCTACTTATTACCTTTGCTGTACAAGTCACAAGTCAACAAATGCAACACAGTTTCACGTAGAACAAATTCACGTTAACACAAAATGCAGGCGAGCACTGTAAGATCAAACGTCGCCACACACCAGTGTAAATGGAGTAAGAGAGCCTAAGCTTATTATATTGCTTATTATTATATTGCTTGTTAAGTGTGTTTGCTGCCAATTAGCCGAGCAGAACACCCCATTTCGACGACGTCGGCAACGTGATGAATGGTAATGCGATGCCGGACTTAACGCGCAGGGATTTGCGCTTGAAAACGGGTCAAAACAAGCACACAAGTGTCCAGAATACGTAAGCGTGGTAAATATAAAACAAAAGCAGGCGTGAGTATAACAAAAGTTACAATACCGCAAGCATAAAATGATTTAACTGCAACGCGCAACGATGATTTTTCAAAAAATATACAACACTGTTTTCGCGAAAGCGTCAATTCGCACTCAACCGACTTCGCATAAGGTTCCAAACGAACTGAAAGTACACAATTCAAGAAACGACCAAACCAAGAAAATCGCCAGACGACGGCGCAACGACAACGCCGGCAGCAGCGTCAACGTGAGTCGACGTCGCCTTTTACTTTTTTAACATTTGCCATTAAAGCGTTTCCAGTTTTGCTGTGGCGCATGGTAGGCATTCAGTAAGCGTGGCTGGGGCGATGATCGCTCGCTTGAGCTGCGCGGCTCGCTTCGGTTGAAGAAACTGTTGTAGTTATGTTAATTGTTGTTGACAAAAATTGCAGCGCTGATAGCAATAATGGTTTTAACAATTGCATTAAGTTTCATTGGTACATGTGCGGGTTGCTTGTGACCGGAGTATGAGTTCGCTTACAACTTGTTTGAGTGCTAACGCAACTAACGGATATTTATATTTAGAAGTAAATTCAAAACGCTTGGAGATTGGAAACTTATTGTTGTTAAATATTAGTAATGGTGAAAATTACCAATACTTTAGAAAGATAAGATTTTTACTGAATTCAAAGACGGACACGAGCAAAGATAAAAACTGCTATATTCAATTTAATTAATTTAATTATATTTAGAATAAAAATGGAATCAAAAAAATAAGTTCCAAGAAAGAATAAAAAAAGACTTTTGGTAAGTTTTGTAAAACGAACTTATAGTCCAATTAAAAGTTATAGTTATTTCGTGTATCATGAACACTTACTTCCGTTAGAGTGAACAACCCTTGTATAAGTTTTGATACTTAGACATTTGAGCCTTTCGATACTAACTCTAAACTAGAAGAAAGCTGTGACTAATTACTATTATTGTTGCTTATTTAAGGAACTGTGGGACGGCATTTCAAACTGCAAACGAAACCATTGGTTTTCGGAGAAGGCAACAGAACAGCTGGTACGACGAGGAGTTCCGTGTCGCAGCGGAGAGGAAACAGACTGCCTACCTCGCAACGTTACAATCGACCACAACACGGGCGGGATGGGATAGATACCGTGAATTGAAAAGGGAGACGCATTTGCAGACAAAAAAGAGAGAGACCGAAATGCTTGAGTATGAAAACCTTGACAAGCTGAGCCACAGGAGTAATGCTCGAAAATTCTACGAAAAAATTCGGCGTTTAACAGAAGGTTTGAAAACACGAAAATACTGTTGTAGAACCCCCAGAGTTGATGTAGTAACCAATGCCCAAAGAATACTAAAATTATGGAGGACACACTTCTTCAGCCTTATGAATGCCAGTGAAAGCATAACAGCAGGAGATGATCGAGCAGACTTTCCTTTGCCCGACCATAAAGAAGTTCGAATAGCAAATACCCGCCTGAAGAACAACAAAGCGGTATAGGCCAATGGACTACCATCCGAGGTATTCAAATACAGCAACCAGGAACTGATAAGAAGCATGCATCACAAAAAAGGAGACCCCACTCTATAAGTGACTCATTCTTGCCGTCCTGCTGTATGGTGCAGAGGCGTGAACGATGACAACATATAATTGGTTGGAAAGGTTCAACGGAGGATGGTGGCGTACAAGCGTCTGAACAGCAAGCGCAACAGTAAGACCATTTCACAAAAGTATGATGTCGTTTAGGCGTATTTCGGTCGACGAAATGTTTTCACTGTAACCACACCAAAGGACAGTATAACAGTGGACTTCACACGGCAAACATGTACCGGGGAAACCGAAGACTGCTTTGTCGGTCAGTAAGGTGATTACCCGCGTTTTTTGAGGTTCACAAATTGTGATTTAGGATATTGACTACTTGGAGAAGGACAAAACAGTGTCAGCTCTACCATGTCGAAAGTTCTCATCGACCATGAAAACACATCAGCGAAATTGGCCGAATTTTACAACGAACCGCTGCGTACGTGCGTCAAAAATAGCAAGTACATACGAAGAAAGGGACGAATTACTTTGTCGCAACTCGAATACGCATGCACATCTAAGCAGTAGTCTCATTAGTGCCTAGATATAAGTGCGCTTTGGGGTCACATTTCTGATACATTTCTTACTGCTACCTAAGATGCTGCGATCCAACACAAATGCGGCATACGACTTAGACAAAAGTAACTGGTAGAACATTCAAGAACTCTACTGGAGTAATCCAGTAACTACTGAACGAAAATATATCAACTCAAATGCCTAATCGAAAAGAAATATTAAAATCTATGGTGGAATAGTTTAAAGTTTATAATTGCTCTCTCGGATTTATTATCTCCTATCTATTCTCTTTAGTGCTTGCAGCGTAATCAACGTGTATACGCAGTTGTCATGCCGCAAGGTCACAGAATCGATGCTGATTTGTAAAGCAGATCCCCAATTTGTAGAGAGGATACCTTAGCCCACAGTGACGCGTATACCACGCCACAAGCTGCTTATGTTAGTTTATCTCTTGGGAGACTTGAACCCTTTCGAAGAATACAGCTAAAAGATTTCATCGATCTGTATGAAGACGAGCGTGTACCAGCTATAAAAGTATGAAAAGAAATAAGAGAAATTAGTCACTAACTAAAATAAGTAAATAACACAACCATTTTTTGAGAAGAAATGAAAAAAGAATGCCATCTCTTGTATGATCTTGAAATTAGGTACACAAAATGGAAACGCGCAAATATAAGTTCCAAAAACAGTTTACATTTATTTATACAATACTATGTTCATACAATATTTTCTGCTAAAACAGTCCCTTTTGCTATGGCACTTCAACAAATGAAAATTATTTGCATTAAAATATTTCCCCCATCGGTTTTAACGTGATCTCATGAATCTAAACATTCGAGAAGAGTGCACATTAATATAGGGTTATACAGGCATATTCACAAATATGTTGGTTACCCACCTGGACATGGGGCGGAGTCCGAAGCGCATATAAAACTGCATCAGCTATATTAGCTGGCTCCAAACGTGCCATATGCTTCACATAGAAATGAATTTCTTCCGGAAATATGTTTGTGTTGACGGCACCGGGACAAATACCCTTTCCAAATGTCAAAATGTCAAGTTTAATATAATACAAATAGTGGTGGAAAAGTGAAAATGCACGTAACCATTTAATGGGACTACAAATGTTTATATCCAAGATTTATGAATGAAGGTGGCGAGTATTAAAAAAGAAGCGGAAGTACAGGAATATAAAAATACTAGATGAAGCTCTTCTAAATGGGAACGTTATTATATTCTATTGAAAAAATGTGTCAACAATAATCAGGAAACGTTTGAAAAAGTTGTAGAAGCTGTCAAATCGATCTAGCATGAGGAGTATCCTTACCAAATTTGCCTCTAATATATTCAATTTCTAAACCTCACGAAGAACTAAAACCCCATTGTCAAAATTTAAGAGCCAGGTGAGCCAAGTTTGAGATGTCGATAAAATAATGTAAATCGTAGAGTCAGACCGTCATGTAAACTTTTAACTCGAAACTGTACTGTCCACAATTGGACCAGAAGCACCCAGCATTGATTAGTAGGAGGGTATTAAGTTTTAACAGAAATGTTAATACTTTTTAAATTAAATTTCGCTCGAAACCCCATTCGTAAAATACATAATGAGCAATCGGCAACTTTTTCGATGAAAAACATTTGTTTTTGGGTGGTATAAATTATTCCATTCCACCAAAACCAGCTGATGATCAAGACGCCGATAAAATAAAGGAATTGGTGCTTGAGAATCAACGATTAACAGTCAGAAATCTTACTGGCTTCGTTGGAATATCGGAAGGAACAATGGAAACTTTTTTTAAAGATCATTTGCGTCTAAAGAAAAGTGAAAGCACGATTGGTTCCAAAATCACTCAATTTTTTCGAAAAAAAATCGTCGCGTTAACGACTGTGAAACAATTCTTTTCGACTACCAGAAAGTCATGAAAAGTATTATTACTAGCGTTGAGTCTTGGATCTATGCTCACGACTCGGAAACAGGCGATCAATCGACCGGATATTATGGCAAAGGTGAGCCGAAGCCGAAAAAACAACGCCAAAGCAGGTCAACAATCAAAGTTATGTTACCAGCTTTTTTCGACAACGATATTGCACCGTCGGCATACTGCATTGTTTCTTCGGGAGTTTTTCGCCAATATCGTGCGGCAACCACCGTATTCACCTGATTTAACACCATATGACTTCCGGTTGTTCAGCAAACTCAAACGACCGCTCCGGGGAAACCGTTTTAAGTCAACTGAAGATATTAAACGTAAATCGCTACGCGCATTGAAGGATTATTCCGGAAATTTACTTGAAAAATTATTTCGAGGATTGGAAAACCTATTGCAACAAGTGTATTGGGGCCAAGGGAATTTACATTGAGGGGGACGATATAGATTTTGAAGCATAAATTATGAACAAAGTTTTACTATTTTTTACTCATAATAGTGTGTGGGTTGCCTTTTATATTTCGCGATTTGGCTGCCCTGGTGTTACTATCTGGCATTTCTCGATTTTATACTCATACTCAGGTTTGTTTATAGTAACTTAAAATATTCATTTCTGCAAAAAAAAAAGGAATTAGATGGCGAACATTTTCGCACGATTGTTTTTTTATCAATTTCGACGTGGATTGCATCGTTGAGCTTAATTCAATTTTCAGCTATGAAGTTCCATCAAGGACTAGCGTTTATCGAGGTCGTAGATCACTCCTAGACAAATTTCGGAAATATCGTCCAAAATAAGTTGAAGAGGCGGCGATACCTCAATCAAATTGGCAAAAGTGCTTAGACAATTAGTTCAACCGCATGCGAAAGTGCATACTGTAGATCTTAAGTGAAAATATTTTGAAAAAAAAAAACAATTAAACATTCGAAGAATAATCTTTGTTTTTGTTCTCTAATCCAAAAAAAAAATTATATATAAAAAGCAACCTACGTACTTCACTTTATAACCTTGAACTGGCATCAAGTTACTACTATTTGTTTCTAGCTTATGAAAAGCAACTTTGATGATAGGGCAATAAGGATTTCTAGGAAAATGGTATTATGAAATTACTTTAAAAATGGCTGCAAGTTATCGAAATAAAACGTTTAATTTAATTTAATGATTTCATTTCACTAGACCGTATATCCGATAAATATGACTTTGAATGTGGCTATATAATTTTTGTAATTAAAATAGAAATTTTTGAAATGTATATAGCAATAGAATTAGAAACAGAGAAGTCAATATACCATACTACTACTTATTTCAAAATTAATTAATTAAGGCTAAGCTTAATGACACTACATACTCACCGTAATACGAACTTTATTCTTGTGCAGTTGAAATTCTTGCCTGTAAGTCTCCGTCATCGCCGTAATGGCGAACTTAGTTGCCGGATATATATTGAAGCTGGGTAGCACATCAATAAAATTCAACACCTGCTGCCCAGCTATACTGTTAATGATCAATATATGGCCCTCGTTGCCACGCTTCATCATGCCGCGGAACACTTCACGTGTACACCATAACACGGCCATAACGTTAGTATCAATTACCTGGCGTATCTTCTCAGTATTTTCAGGCGCCACCAGTTCCGTTTCACGTGTGATACCAGCATTATTTAACAGTACATCCGCGCCACCCAACATACGTTCCGTCCAATCGATTGCCGCTACAACCTGATCCTCTTTAGATACATCACAGCGACGCGGTATGAACTGTGGTTGCAACGCTGGAGGCAAGCTGAGTTTGAGCTCCTGCAATTTAGCTTCTCGCCGTGCAAGACCGACAACACGTAGACCTGCCACCACCAAAGCTCGAGCACAGGCAGCACCAATGCCACCACTGGCGCCAGTTACCACGGCCAACTTACCCTGCCAACGTTCCATGGAATTGCATGTACTTTCAAAGACAACTAAACATTAACTGAGTGAAGAATATTGCTCATTTTCCTGCAGTTTGTTACAAATTAATGCATACATATATGTACGTACATAAGTGCGTATATTCTTACAATTGCATATGTAGTTACTTATGCATGATGATTTAGGTCGATACTTATTTTTTACAATATCGATTAACTAATATAGCAGTTATAGGGTTTCACTTGAATAACTGAATATCAAATCATAATCACTTGCTATCACATTCAACATGGAGCGCTGGCAGGGCAAAGTTGCTATGGTAACTGGTGCTAGCAGTGGCATCGGTGCTGCTTGTGCCAAGGCTTTGGTGTGTGCCGGATTTGTTGTTGTTGGATTAGCACGTCGCCAGGAACGCATTGCACAATTGCAACAGGAATTACCTACACGATTTCGCTCCAATTTACACGCCTACAAATGTGATTTAACAAAGGAGCAGAATGTGAGTGATGCTTTCAGGTGGACGCAGCAGAAGCTAGGCGCCGGCGTTGATGTATTGGTGAATAATGCTGGTATTATAGCGACTACGGAGTTGAGTGCACGTCAGAACACGAATGAAATACGCAACACCATCGATACGAATCTGTTGGGTACGGTTTTTTGTACACGCGAGGCTTTCAATTCAATGCGTGAACGCGATGTTGAAGGTCATATAGTGATCATGAATAGTGTGGCTGGTTTGCAAGTTCCCAATTTGGGTCCAAACTTGCCATCGCTCAATATATATCCTGCAACAAAGTTCGCTTTACGAGCTATGAACGAAATCTATCGGCAAGAATTTCAGCGACACAAGACTCGTGTACGAATAACGGTACGTGGTATTCAGAAAAAGATAATCTTGTAGAGATTAATGATAGTGGCAGCAATAGCACTCCGTTTTTCACATTGGGTAGTCGAAAAAGTCTTTTCGTATTTTGTCAATAGGGGTCGTTGCAGTCGTATATATCCAGTCTTACCAATCACATTGTGTCATATAATGTTGCAAAGGTGAGATTTTAAGCTTCATTTAACCAAAAAAAATTAATTTCGGAGATGTTAAAAAAAGTTACAGTTGTTCAAAAATTTGTGAAAATAATGAAGAAATTCGCTATATTTTAAAATTCTTGTATAAAAAAGGGAAAAATGTCACGCAAGCCACCAATGAATTCCATATCAGTTCGTGTAGCACAGCAATGGTTCGCTCGCTTTCGTTCTGGAATTTCGATTTGCACTGTTGAAAGTTTTACACCGATAGAGTAATGTCTCTAGCGGAAAAAATAAACTGCGCGTGCAAACGGAATCGACAAAATTTCTTCTAGTGTGTTTTTGGAGTCCACTTTGTCACGAGCACAAGTATTTGGCACAAAAGATTCAGTGAGGGTATTGAAGTCGTAATTACGATAACATCGAAAAAGTTTAAACAAATTGTGCTTAAAAATCGTCGAGTTGATTTTAGATAGAAAAGATATCAAAATCTCTTATGGATCGAATTGACATTTTGGTGAATGTTTTTAGTATGAAATGTGTCAATCGACTCATAATAAAAGACTTAAATCTCACACAAAACAGACGTCTAGAAGAGATACTGAATATCAACCCAACAAGTATATGGAAAATCTGATAAAAGGTTAGCGTCAGGAGCCCTCGGAAGCGATAATAAAGATTTATATCAAACTACGTGAAAATGTATTTTTTTCCAGTCCGGGTTACATATGATCAGATGATATGTTAAATTAAAAAGATCATAGCGAAAAAAATAAGAAAAGTCATCATAGTGAACAAAGCGAAGATAAACAAAATGCATAATGATACTCATTACTTCGTTTATGACGTCAATTCTCCAGCATTTATCTGTCAAATCCATTACAAAAAAATTAACGGAACAAAGATATCATAATCTTTATTTTTTATTTAAATTTAGACTATCAGTCCAGGCATTGTCGATACCGACATACTGCCCACTTCTATTCGCAATGTTGTCAAGGATATGCTGCCCAGTCTTTCGTCTGAAGATGTGGCCGATGCTGTTTTATGGGCAATAAGCACACCACCAAATGTACAGGTACATCCAGAAAATTTGTATATAAATCGCTTTACTTGAGTAACACCAATTATATTATTTTTATAGGTTCACAACATCACCATAAAGCCCATGGGCGAAAAATTTTAATACTTGGTATATTTTAAGCTTACCTTATTAAAATCATTTGACTCCACTTAATTGTTTTTTTATTTAATATATTGAATATTTTTTGGAATAAAAATATTTCATTACTATCCTATTATATAACAAGTATAGAAGCACCGAGCTCGAATCGGAACGAATGTTAGATAATATCGCAAATTGTAGAACATAAAATTTCGTTATATTTTCGAAAAATATAGTCAAACTTGTAATAAAACGAAATTGAGTGAAATCAATGCAATCGAATATTTCTCTTAAACGTAAGTAGGTGAAAACGTGAATCGGGCCTCAGTAATAGTATATTTTATAGTATTTTATTTTTGACTTGACTAACTATACTGCTTATACGGTAATTGTGGAGGTGAGAAATCTTTCAAAAAAAATTAGTATACAACTTGTTTTAATAATAACATTTTAAAGCTTTGAGTTACAGCCTTTTAAAATGTAACCGTGAGAGAGTTTATAACATACATATGCATATGTATGTATATCGAGATGATCAAAGTGGAAGGGATCCCAGCATAAATCCTCAAAATAATCGGTGCAGTGCGCCCAGCATGAACAACGCCTACCTTGAAGACGGAATATTCCCTAATCAGTAAGGGAAAAGGAGACCCTAATTCTGCCGTCCACTATGCATGCTTGACACAGCGGGAAAGCTATACGAAAGTCTACTTAAACCCAGACTCGAAGGGGCTATCAACGAAACTAGAGAACTGTCCCCTAGACAACATGGTTTTAGACCCGGCAGGTCAACTATAGGAGCTATAAAATGCGTCATTGAGAGCGTAGATGGCACAAATACAAAAGAATAGTGTTGCTGGCGACTTTAGATGTCCCAAACGCCTTCAACAGCACTAGATGGGTGGATATGATCGACGCTCTCGAGAAAATCTTTAAGATACACGACCACCACAGGGCTGTGATGCAAAGCTACCTTAGCAACAGGAAACTGCTGTACGAAACCAAAGAGAGATCAGGACAGATAGCAGTCACGTCAAGAGCAGCACAAGGATACATTCTAGGTCCAGACTTATGGAACATTAGCTATGACGCTATATTAACAGTAATAACAGCAAGGAATTCCGAGAAAGCGCGAAGAAAGCTGAACCACGTCATGATGGGGATGCTAACATGGCTCAATTCACACAGCCTCCAGCTCGGCACGGAAAAAACAGAGCTACTACTGCTAACAAACAAGCACATACCCCTCGAGATATGCATGCACACGACGACGGATATTCCTGTTACACAAATATCAGCAAACTACCTAGGCGTAAGACTGGACCACAAACTAACCTTCTGGGTACAAATCCAACACGCCGCAGAAACGGCAGCGAAGAACACATCTCAACTGAGCCGACTAATGGCCAACATAGGAGGCCCCAGCCAAGAAATAGAAAGTTCCTAATGTCGACAACAACGCGCGTCTTATTATACGGAGCTAAGATTGGGACCGCACCGCAGCCCTTAGAGTTGCATCAGCCTACCGAACAGTATCAGGCGATGCAATATTAGTTATAAGCGGAAATGCGCTAGCATACGAAAAGAGCTAAAGAAATCATCCGATAATAACAAGAGCGCAATAGAACAAATAGAGAAAGAAAATGTAACAACATGACGACAAGGATGGGACACTGAGAGTCGCTACATGGATGGACTACCAGGCTTATAAAAGATCTAGACTCATTGACAAGCCTTAAATTCGGCGAGGTAGGTTTCTAAAAAAAACCCAGCTGTTTTATTGACCAGCAAGTGGCACATACCGCTGCTGTGACAATAGAACCGATGGTGCGGAAGGCATTTTCCACCCCCTCACCCGCAAAAACAAACAAAAAATTATCAAAGTGACAAGCTGAATCTAGATAGCTAGCCTGTTTTCAGATATCGATCTGAAATTTACACACTTCGTTTTCTTTCCAAGCAGCTGCTCATTTGTCGTAATCGCCCATATCAGATCACTGTAGCATATAGCTGTCATACGAACTGAACAAGAAAACTTTTTTATTTGACAAGATATCTCCACGAAAGTTTACAGGGATTATTTTTCAAGGCAGTGGTAAAGTCCAGTCAATTATTCAGATCGAATCACCATATCATACGAATATAGCTGGCACACAAACTTCATGATGAAAATGATGATCTTATTTGTGAAGGGTATTCTAGCTTCGGTGGAACCGAAGTTAACTGTTTTTTTCTTGTTCCTGCTCCTTAAGACTTACGAACCTACATAGGGTTAGATTGCCGAAATACAGGTTTATTAGACGGATAAAATCGGGTAGCGGGTCAGAATAGGAATATGATATGTCTCAGACCGTATATATTTTCAAATACTTGTCAGATTTTGATACACATTTACAAATCCAAATATTATGCTATATTCATTTACCGTAGAGAACTTTATAGCACTTACCTCCGACATTATCTGTACAGCTCTGATCTTGCATAAATAAACTTTCTGTTTTTTGGGACAGATGTCTAGCTTAAATCATTAATCGCATCTAGAATTAAAAAAAACAAGTTTAAAATTAGAGTATTTATATTATTGTCTTTTGCTCTATTGCAGAACTATAAGCCTATGCAGTCGTTAGATGGATTAGTTACATATGTTATTAATGTACTGCGGATATTAGATAATCTAAAAAGATAACGGATTTTTTAATAGGAATGCTATGAAGTAGACTGATAGGGACAGCAAATGACGTCATCTTTTCCCCATAAATGAAGAGAAATATTTAGGTTTGCCATTTCATCATGGAAAGATATACCATCCAACAACGAGTCGAAATTATTAGAATTTACTACCAAAATTCCTAGTCAGTGGCCTCAACTTTAAGCGTGCTATGTCCAATTTATGGTTGTCATAATCGTCCTGTCACATCAAAAATTTAGCGTCTGGTGTAAAAATTTTAATACACAGGCACAGTACAAAATTTTCCTGTGCCAGTAAGACAAAGAATATTGCTTCCGCCAGCGCATCAATGGAGGAAGACTCAAATCAGTCTCTCACACTTCGTTTTCCAGCGTTGGACATATATGTGACATCGTTGTGGCGAATTTTGCGAAAATATGTATCTTGGCCTACATCCTTACAAGATCAAATTGACGCAAGAGCTGACTCCGCTTGACCACCAAAACCGGCGTATGTTCGTGTATTGGGCTGAGCTAAATCGTCGAAAAATCATCTTCAGCGATGAGGCTCATTTCTGGCTGAATGGCTTCGCCAATAAGCAAAATGCGCGTTATTGGTCAGGCAGCTATCCACACCTACTCCATGAGCCACCATTACATCACGAAAAAATTACGGTTTGGTGCGGTTTATCGGCCGGCGGCTTCATTGGGCCGTACTTCTTCCGTGATCATGAAAACCGGCACGTTACTGTGAATGGGAATCGCTACCGCTTAATAATAACTGAATATTTTTCAACCCAATTGGATGATATGGACTTGGATAATGTGAGGTTCCAACAGGACGGCGCCACAAGCCACATAGCGAATGCCACAATCGATTTATTGAAAACCAAGTTTGGTGAACGTGTTATCTCACGAAATGGCCCAGTCAATTGGCCGCCTCGGTCGTATGATTTAATGCCGTTAGACTATTGAAATTTATACATGAAACCCAATTTATACATGGCCATGCAAAAGAAATCGTGTTACATTTATAAAGCGTCAAATGTACTATCATAGGAATAAGGAATTTCATTGATATCTCAAACCGTTATTATATTATAAAAAAAAAAAAAACTTTTGTAGCGCTCTTATTTAAATCCCGTTATTGAGTACTCAAAACTTCCATAACGGAGCGAAATAGCATTCAATAAAAATGAAAGTACTTTGTTGCTGCGTTTTAAACTCGCATCTTTTAGTTTCTTTAAAAAAAAAAATATGTTAGATGACAATTTTCTTTAATATGCCATAAATGGCACGTTATTACATTGGGTAAATTTCTTATTCAGAACAGAAATAAGCATAATTTTATATAATGGGAATTTTCGTTGGTTAAGTAAATATTTAAATGACGTAGTTGTTAGTGTGATTAGAGCAATAACTAAAACACAAAGACAGACAAAATTTCAATATTTTGAAAACTTTGTTATTTTTCATTTTTATTTCATAAAAAAATTTTCAATAATTTGGGTAAGTAATAATCAATTCAACACTACGTAAATCAACAAGAGTAGAGGACACGAACCTTAAACACGATTAGCCCATCATTCCTTTGTTACGTTTAAAGGCTGCACCCATTTTGCGATTATGGTTTGCACGCGAAGATTTATTTTTCTCTTTTTTATCGCGATTCCTCAAAGTGTCTTTATCTTGGCCTTGACCTTTTGGCGCGCCAACAACATCTCTCGCTTTACTGTTGTTATCGAAATTGCCACCATGATTGCGATTACCCCACTTAGCCTGTCGGCGAACTTCGTAACGAGCTCGAATATCCTCGGGATTTTCACAAAAATTCAATCGTTTATTGCGATCAGTTTGTGCATCTAAATTGGACTTATCTTCTACAGTTTCCTGATCATCCTCACTCTCTTCATCCGAAACATCTTCAACATTTGCCAGACCAGCTTTAAGCTGTTTCGATTTAACTAGACGTGTTTCACTTTCTAGTAATGCTTCATAGCTGTCATCATATTCGTCGTTGTATTCGTCATTGCTACTTTCACCTTCACTTACTAGTGTATACGCTTGATAGCGTGATTTTAATTCAGCTAAATCACTTTTGTCATCTAACATTTGAGCAGCATCTCTTGGTGCGTTTGGCATGCCCTTACCTTGTTTAATAATATATTTAGGGTTATCTTGCGTCATGACATCATATGCATCGCCATCATAAACGTTAAAGTGTTTAACACCAGTCTGTTGATAAGTCTTATCTTGTGGATCCGGTGGTATATATACCTCGGTTTGGTCTGCATTCACTAGATCAGGTGGTAGATTGTTTTCAAGTATAGCAGCAATAGCCTCTTCGCTATTGTTATAACGCGAAAGTATACGCCGAACAAACCCCGTGCCTAAATGAGGCAGAACATCCAATACTGACGTTACTTCTAAATCAATATCACGTTCTTGAACTACTGCTGTGGACGATGTTATATTCGTATCTTTATTTGTTGTTTCGTTATTTTTATTATTTAATTTCGAAGAATTTTTAGTTTTTTTATTCGGTTTTGTGTTGTTCTTGTCCATAGTCGATTTTGATTCTGTTTGATATC